GACTAGGACCCCCGGCCCCCCCGGCCGGCGCAGGCAGCTCGCCTCACTTCACCCCCGCCGGAATGGCTTTCACTTGGGGGGTGGCCGCCGAGCCCCCCTCCAACACCCCCTCAACCTGGTGTCCACGTCCCCCTCATGCAGCACATGGGAATCTCGGGGTCACCAAGGCTGGGGGAGTTTTTTGGGGAGCCCGTGTGTTTCCTGGCCCCCCCCTCAGCTCCAGGCAGAGCATGGAGCTGCTCCATCCGTTCCCTGCCCTGGAGCTGAGGCGCTCCCGGCTGCGCAGGCTGGGATCAGCTCTTCCCTTCCTTTGCTGTGGGGGAAAAGGGTTTCTCTGGAGCTCTCCAAAATACCTCGTGCTCCCAGCCCTGACACAACTGCTGAGGGGAGCGGGGCAGCCCCGGCTCTGTGCCCCTGCCGGAGCGGGGCGAGGTGATGGATAAACACAGACCAAAGATGTGCCGTCATGCGCTGTATGTCAGGGAATTATATTTGATGAAAGTACTTACATGCAGATTTCTATTTTTCTGTATCCCAGATTATTATATGATTTCCTTCTGTGTCGTGCCACGTGTAATTATCATGCAGTCAATGAAAGGCGCTTTTGGAAATCAAACAGCTTTACTGAATTTCTGAACCCTTGTGTCTTATCTGTCTTCGTGGTTTGTATTTTTTTATCATGGGAAAAGGGTCCGATGCAGCTGGGAAGCCAGCAATGGTCTAGTGTTAATTAAGTGTATGTTTTTATATAAAATTGAAATAATAAATTGTTTTAAGAAAATCAAAAGCCCTTTTCTCTGTTTGTGGCTTCACTGTTTTTGCTGCCCGTGTCCATGCTCAGAAGCTGGCCTGCCCCGCAGAGAGCCACTCCTCGGCACGGCCACGGCTACTGCTGCCTCCAAAGGGCAAATGGCCGGCTCCGTGAAATGGGGAGGGCTCCATACCAGAGCACGTGCTTTCTCACCACCGGTGGCCGTCAGGAGGCAGGGCTGGAAGCCAACAGCAGGTCACATCTTTGCCTCGTGCTGAGGCTGCCTGGATGGGCCCTAGGGGAAAGGAGGAGCAAGACAGGGCGTGAAAACCGGGCCTGTGCCTTATCACGGTGGCTGCACTGCGCCCGACACCCTGCCCCGCACAGGCCACGCAGCAGGGGGGAGGCTGTGAGCCAGCCTGGGGGCCGGCTGACGTTCATCCAGCCCTGTAATCGCCGTCGCCTCCCGTCAGGGGCCCTGCCCGGCGAGGAAACACAAGAGAGTAACGTGCCCCAGGGGGCCTGCGGGCTTGCAGACGCGTAGCAGCGAGGAGGCTGGTGAAGGCTTTGCAGTCATTCTGCCTCGTCACGGTCCTGGGCAGGCAAGATGCCAATTCGCATGCTTTGCAGCACATGCAGAGGTTGGCCATTCCCGAGGTGGGTCCGGCCGCTGACCCCGAGAGCAGGCAAGGCCCATCCTGCACGCCTCCGCCTCCCCGCGCCGACTGCGATACGGAGGCGCCTTTGGGCCCTTCCCTTCTTAAGACCTAATGTCTGGTTTCTCTCTGGAGCTGCTAACAGGACGCGGCCAGGGCCTGTTCGTGGCACGGGGACGAGCCTCGGTGCAGGAGCTCTCCCGAAACACCCGCCCTGCCAGGGGGGTTGGTGCTGTTGATGCCTGCGGGCAGCAACATCGCCGGCCTCCCCCCCTGGCGG